ATTTCAAACAGGAGAGAATGCATTTGCGTTGCTGACTTCGGTTCGATGCTATATTCCGTAGTGTCTCCAGCCAAAGACCATGTAAATCTTTGAGGCTCCAGCCGGGAACCGGTATACACCAACGAAAACCAGATCTGAGCACAATCTCTTATGTTAATATAGAGCTTGAGCATGACGAAAAAATAAATTAAAATCGACTAAACCGGACAAACACAAAAGGTGGCGGGTGTAAACGGGGGATGAGGATAGTTCAAGATAAAGTTCATTTTGTTGACACACGACGAGAACTCCAACGGTTGNAATCTAGTGAGATCCAAAACATGTGCTTTCCGTCCCGTTTCAATCAATAGCTCTGCTCCCGCAATGAAACCTAAACAAAACAAGAGGTACAGTACCTCCAGTCTCCCTTCTCACACTGGCTCCCTGACCCCTTCAAACTATCTTGCAACTCACCTTTGCACCACTTTTAGTGCTTTTGAGGCACTAACTAAGAACGATCTCCAGCCTTTAACGCATTATTCGCGATGTGGTCATTCTACGGCGTTGTACGGTGGTTTTAGGACATTATGGTCTCCTCAACGATACTGCGAGATGTCCCTCCGATAGACCACTCGGGAGAATGCCACATCCGTTCTTTGTGCTCACCGAAAAGTCTGACGAACATATGGAACATATTGAGTTTGGTACATTCAAAAAGAAACTGTGATTTAATACTCATTATTTAGTGATTTGGATACAGTATTTATATAGTACGGATTGCGTCAATCATTCGATTGTCTTCGTTTCCAGTACCACTAGAACAGGAGTCAGTGATATTTCCCTTGATAGTGAACTCAATAGTCCATCTTTAAGCGATTGTGCGAAGAATACTGTGGTGATTCAGGCCTACGAGATGACGCCTACCCAGGAGCGGCGCGTCACAGTTTTGGACACATGCGACCAATCAAATTTGAATGCTGACGTCAATAACACGCGTATGGCTTCCGACTACACGCCATAGGCAGATCGTGTCAGCCAATCCGATACAGTGCAGACAGAAGCAAAATAATGCAAGCAGTATTCCAGCCCGATTGGTGGAAGCCTGCATAGCCAATAATCTTCTTTTGTGCATATTATTTAATCGCCCTCATTTCTTCCAATAAACGAACTACGTACTACATTTCCTATGGCCTTTTCGTCGCGTCTCGTTCACGTGGGATATTGCGAGCTCGTTCCAATGCAGTCCAGTGCTTCCGTAATCCAGTCCGTGACAGCTACTCCTTGATTCGTGTCCGGTGATTCCTATTGCGTGGTTTGCATTCCGAATTCCGTGCGTACTCATACTACGACTACTACAATCATTACAGATACTGAAGTTTTTAAATAGGNCTTGTTTTCGGATCAATTATTTTCAACTTTTCATACATATCAGCTATTCGCAAAGCAGATATTGTGCCTCCAAACTATTCTAACTCCCGCATGGACGTTGCCCAAACCTCGTTTAAAGGAAACACTTCACTAGCTGGGCTACGGGGGCACACCAGTAGTGCTCATCTTTACATAGTCGGCTCGCATGGGCCCCGTATGCACCCCTCTTTAAGGTGAGTGTATAACGAAGATAGAAGCAACTTTAGTGAGTTACGCTAAGATTTGAATGGTCCCCTCCGGGGTTCGTATGATCATAGCTCATACTAATTTTTTGTTGATATCTTTCAGTATAAATGTACGATCCATCCACAATTTCCGTCTGTCACGTTCGGCTGACCATTGTATATCAGTGTGCGTGTTTGTGTGTGTGTGTTTGAGTGTATAGAGCATATACTGTTACAATGTGAACAATGCAAGCTGGCTGGAAAATTTCACAACCCGATGTACCAAACCGTCGTTTTGTCGGTCTCAGACACTTTGTAAATTCCAAACCGGTTGATTGACGGCATCAAGGTCACGCGTTCAGTTGTGCTCAATTTCCCAAATGAATTGATTAAATATTTTTGAACAGAGGGCAAGTGGGCGTATACACACAAAACAGCAGGAAAGACAACAGAGCAGTGGTGGGTCACGTGGGGGTTGTACTAACAATCACTTCACGATCACAGTAGAATACACTCGCAGAATCTGTGGGTGGAGACTAGGTTGAACAGCAAAACGGACATTTGAAACAAAACTAATAGAATTGTGGTGTTTAGCTTCCCAGTACAATTGAAATGCGCACAGCATAGTTTCATGTGATGCAATCAGAACCCAGACATTCTGCAGGTCATCGATCAATCAGGAAACGGTTCACCGTGTGCGTTTGTGTGTCCATGCGTGTGTATGTTTGCAAATAAGAGTCCATCTAGTTTTTTGGTGGCTACTGAGATGGATTAAGTGCATTTTGGAAATCAGATGCGAAACGTATCATAGTACAGAGAATGGATTACTTTTCGCTGACTATTTTTGTTCTACTGTTTTCTTTTGGATCAATCCAATCCGAATCCGTCGTATCGGTTGGTTGTGTTCTGTTTCACGGGTCGATGAAACCATTGTCATTCAAATCCACTCATGCCTCGTTAATCATAAGTCTCCTTTTGGACGGTCACACATGTGTCGTACTGAATTCCACTTGTGTTCGTACAATGTATTGTCTCGGCAAACCGATCGATTTCGAATGTGGTCCGCTCGGATCGTTTCAGAATGATTTTATCTGTTTCGAGACATACGATTGTCTGATCGAGGTGTGCGCTTCCTCATTCAGTGTCTCAAAATTCGGTGCACACGGGATTTACGATCTGTGTGTGATACCGACCGAATTGGAAACTCGATTCAGTACGAATCTCAACGTACCTAACACAGATGTGGTTCAGCTAAAACCATCATGTGTGGAACAATTTGGAACCAAGGTGGAATTGTTCCACGTGGATGAGGATACACTTCGACATATGTTTGCGACTAAGAGATCGGCACTGACGAACATCTTCATCTGGATCATAGCATCTGTCATGATCAGTTTGTTAGTCACTATCTCGATCGGGATTTTCGTGGTCCTGTTTCGCACCCGCATTCGTTCTTGGTGCCTAGGGTTATTAGTTCTGCGAAATCCGTTCTCCCGAAGACGAATGGATTCCGATCATTCCGATACGGAACCGCATACACGTCTTAGTATGCCGAATACCTCGGACGGTCGGGTCAGATGGACCAATGTGACCAATGCACAGCCAGAACCGGAACCGCCTGCATACGACCAGGTTTTGATTGAATGTGGACTAAATCCGAACACTGCGTCTACCAGTCAANACCAGTCAATAATGTGACATTCAAATACTGGACAATATTATTCTTTCACAACAGGAGGATGTTGATTTATCAATGTTTTAATATGCGCTTGAATGATTAAGTTAAGTTTATTTTAACCTAAAAACATCCGTACATATTGGAATAAACACATGGTTTCTTATGGTTTTAAATCATGAAATAATATCGTTTCTATTATTACCAATAATAATGCTATAATCACTGTTATGTGCTTACTAAATTGCCTGGATATGTTGCTCAAGCAGTGTATATTGAAAACTTCATTATAGGTGAACCCACAAACATGTCCAAGTGTTTTACATTCCCGTAAGGATGATAGTGGTTGAAAATTTGAACTATTCGTTTAATAAATCAGTAAAGGAAATTAGAATGCGATCGATCAAATGTTGCTAAGTGGTGAAATGGTCTGATGGTGATGGTGTTCGAACGAACAATGAAGTAACGTCTACGAAGTTCGAATAAATTCCGACTTATACCAAATTTACTGTATTAATCGTGAACCTAGTCTCTTAATTCATCTAGTGTTTGCTTCATAGCATCAAAAAAGTTTGTCCAATATATCTGC